GAGGAGCTGGTGGGGAGCTCAGCCAGGCTCCAGTCATGGCTGCATCCTGTGGAAGAGGCATGCCTGGTCCCCAGTCCTGCACTCTGTGGGGAGTGCCCTTCCCCTCCCAGCATCCCTGATGTGTGAAACACAAATGCTTCCACTTCTTGTCCATTGCCATGTGGTAGCATTGTGTGATTCTAGTCCAGGCCCTTCTGTCCCTAGCATGGTGGTGACATCACCCGCAGGGCTGGACTGGTCCTGGTGATCATGGAGAAGTGTCATGTAGAGGACACACTGTCTGTGGTGGTCATCACCCATGGGCTGCTCTCTTCAAGTGGTCAGTGTATAATGGTGGGGGTCTTGCTGTCCTGGGTGTTCAGTTTGTCCTTGTGACTGTCACCTAGCTGCTCACTGTGTCACTGTGTCCACACAGTAGAATGCAAAGCAGGTACATGGGGCTATAGCCTGGGGTCTCCTGTGTGGGGGCAGGCAAGCTGGAGTCAGGGCTCTTCCCAAAAGGAAATGCTTGGTGTTTCCCGTGCCCTGCCCATGTCCATGGACAGTGGCCCTCAGCACGGATGTAGCAGTGGCCAGGGTTTCCCCTGAGGGCAGACAGGCCCCAGCCTGGCCGCAGGATTGCCAGCACTGGCCTTGAGGCTCCCAAGTCCTAAGAGGAGGCAGTGTATGGCCACCTTTTAATACTTTGAACTATTTCATGTGTTCAAATTCATTCCATCACCTGGCTGTAAAGTAGCCCAGGTGGAATAAGCAGACTCCTTGGGAGAGACAAACACCAAATGGAGCCCCCGTGCTCCAGGTGTGTGCCACAGCCCTCATCTCTCTTTGATGGCACATCACAAAGAAAATTCCAGATCCACTCAGACCCACTGTTAGAAATGCCAACATTCTAAACATGTCTTGCTTTGCAATTTTAGGATATTTCAAAAGTGAGCTGCACAGGAGATTTATCTGGGCAACTACCTAATAAACAAAACCCAGCACTTCAAGTTCAAAGCTCAGAGAGCTCCAGTATAAGGTTATTAACTACCGTATCTTTGAATGTATTTTCTGAACTGTTAACTTAGAAATAATCGGGAAATGTTGTTCAGAAAGTGAAAGGGAGCCGACATCCTTGTTGAGCCCCTGGACATTGGTGCAGGCAAGCCTTGGGATTCCGATGAGCCTGGATTGGGAATCACTAGCCCAGGAAGTCAGAGCTACCATCGAGAGATGTGTGTCCCCTTCCTCTGGGACTCTGTGGGCAAGTATTGAGTTTGTGAAGTTGGCGATTCCAGAAGTTTCCTGGGGAATCCACACCTACCTGTTGCTCTCATATGGAGCTGAGAACATGAGTTTTGCTGTTAGCCAGCCAGAAGATGAATCAGCCACTGTGACTTGCTTTCTATGGCTCCGCCCTTGTTCCTCATATAGGGAGTATGAAGTGGGCAACAGGAACTGGGCTCCATGTGAGGATTTTTTTTTAACATTTATTTGAAAAGCAAAGTTGAGAGAAAGAGAGAGAGAGAGAGTCAGAGTCAGAAGGAGGTCTTCTATCCGCTGGTTCACTCCCCAAATGGCCACAATGGCTGGCTTGGGCCAGACCAGAGCCAGGATCCAGGGTCTTCCTCCGGGTCTCTCACGTGGGTGTAGGGACCCAAGCACTTGAACCATCTTCCACTGCTTCCCTAGGCACATTAGCAAGGAGCTGGATAGGAAGTGGAGCAGCTGGGACTTGAACCGGAGGCCATATGGGATGCTGGAGCCGCAGGCTACCCGTTATGCCACCGCACCGGCCCCCATGTGAGGATTAATGAAGATCCTGCATCCAGAGCTCCAGAACAGGCTGGACAATTATAAATAATCAGTTAGTTTATTTTGATTTACTTGAAAGAGAGGAAGAGATAGGTCATCGGCTTCTGTCTGCTGGTTCACTCTCCAAATGCTTGCAATAGCCAGGCCTGGGCCAGGCTGAAGCCAGGAGCCTGGATCTCCATCCTGGTCTCCTTCATGGATGACAGGGGCCCAAGCACTTGAGCCATCATCTGTTGCATCCAAGGAGGCATCAGTAGGAAGTGGAATCAGAAGTGGCGAGGCTGGGATTCAAACTGGCACTTGAACATAGGATGCTGGTGTCCCAAGCAGAGGCTAAGCCTGCTTTAGCCACACCTCTCCCACCAGGCCAGGTATTCTGAAGGCTCTGATGGTGAGGGAGAGACTGCTCTGGGTTCTGTGTGGGCCAGGCATTGTGCAGGTGCTCTCATCAGCTCTGACTCACCCTTAGATTGAGTCACACATACAGTTGTCCACCTTGCAATGTACTGGGGGTATCAGGATGGAACTCCAACTTGGAAATAAACAGAATCTAAGAACTGCCTCAGGCCCTTCCAAACCTGGGGACCCCTAGACCTTTTCCTCTCCAGGTTACAGCTTCCCACAGGTATTCACTGACCTGAGAACAGATGCACTCTTCTTTCCAGAGCCTGTGACATAGAAGAAAGTGAGATCTGCAGTCCAGGGACCGGGCTTCTCCTGAGCCTATCCTAAATGCTGATGCTCAGGCTGTAGCATTGGGTGCTCTCATTTGAGTAAGATCTGGGAAGTCCTCCAACATGTGGAGTTGGAACCTTTAAGGTCACTCACTTCTTCTGGTGTAGAGGCCCCAGTCCTGGTGCTGCAGAGCCTCCCTGGGGGCCTTTGTACCTGGGCCTGTGAGCCAGGAGCCTGGATTCCAGTCAGGCTCTGCTGCTTACTTGTTGCATCCCTCTGGGAAGTGCTGGGTATCTCAGAGTCTGCCAAGATCTGGCTGGACCAATGGTTGATTCAAGGACCATGACAGATCCCTGGGCTCGGGTCTGGGTCATGGCTTCTGCTGCTGTGAGCAAGCCCCATTGTGGGCTCATGCCAGGGTGACCCTTACAGACCCACACACACGATCCCCATGTGTTTGACTTCTGTGGTCCCCAGGGAACAGTGACCCTGAGCTGTGTGTCCATGACTGAGTAAGGGCAGATGGACGCCTGCCTATTTGGGCTGTGTTTGGGATATGATGGTGGTGGGATGGGATTTCTATGTTACTTGGGGTCAGCAGTATCCACCTGAGGATGGTAGACATCATTGTGACTGTATAGGGAGCTGCCTGGTGCAGCGGGGAGACGACCTCCTCGGGGCTTCTTTTATTTACTTGGAGTGTGTGTGATACCCTCTGTCCTGGCCCAGGCACTGTTGCTACTAAGGGGACAGGGGTCACTCCCTTCTGTGGGATCCTGTGGTAGCATTTGCAAGGTCAGATCAGCTGGCAAAGCAGAGGCAGCCAGTGGTCAGCGGGGCCCTTCCTCACCCCGTGTCCTGCCTGGTGGTCTGACACTCTGAATTGCAGGGTCCTATGGGGGAAAAGAGCTCATGAATGTGGAGGGTCAGGGGATAGACCCATGAGCTACTGAAGGGGTGGGTGGGGGGCTTTGGTTCAGGTCTTTGCCCCCTCCCCTGTGGCTTCCTCCTCCTATCAGAGGCCCCCAACCCATTTTTTTTTTTATTTTTTGACAGGAAAGTGGACAGTGAGAGAGAGAGACAGAGAGAAAGGTCTTCCTTTTCCATTGGTTCACCACCCAATGGCTGCTGCTGCCGGCGCACCACGCTGATCCGAAGCCAGGAGCCAGGTGCTTCTCCTGGTCTCCCATGGGGGTGCAGGGTGCAAGGACTTGGGCCATCCTCCACTGCACTCCTGGGCCACAGCAGAGAGCTGGAATGGAAGAGGAGCAACCGGGACAGAATCCAGTGCCCTGACTGGGACTAGAACCCAGTGTGCCCGTGCCACAGGCAGAGGATTAGTCTATTGAGCCACGGTGCCGGCCTCCCCCAACCCATTTCAACCAGCACCTTGCATGTTACACTGTTAGTCACCCAACACTGGACACAGTCCCTTCTCCATGCCCCTACCAACATCTGCATTAGCCCGGTGGCTCGGCCTCTCCTGGACAACTCCCTAAGGGCTCCCTGGAGCTCCCTCTCCTCCTTTCCTCCACCTCCTTCAGGCTCCAGGTCCCTTCGCCTCTCCTAGTGAGTACACATATTTGCTACTCAGTTCTATGCTACCTCATGGCCAGGCCCATCTGTGCTGCTGTTGCCTTGCAGTGGGATTCTGTGAGCTCCAGGTTAGGCCTGGTTCCCCACATGTGCCACATGCAGCATTTGTGGGCCAGCTGATACCCTGCACCTGCAGAGCTGTGTGCTCTGTGTGCATGTGTCTGTGTGTCTGTGTTTGCCTGCGAGTACATGCTGTGTGCATGTGAGCGCACATCTCTATGCATGTGTGTGTTTCTGCATAAGTGTGTAAGTGTGTGTGTGTGTGTGTGTGAGTCCTGTGATGTGTGTGTACAAGATTGCATGGTCCCCTCTGAGGAGCTCAGTCTAGAGGGCAGCTACCTCGCAGCACAAACCAGCCAGCTGCTGCTCCCACTCAGCAGCATGGTGGGCGGAAGAGCAAAAGGACCCGGGGAGTGAGTGGCCTGAGTGGCCTTGGTTGGGCCACTCCCAGGCAAAGCAGCTCCACGTGGGGACAGGGAAAAGGAGCAAAGACCTTCTAAGAAGGAAGCAGCCTCACAAGGCACAGAGGCATGAGCTCAGGTGTTCTGGGGGCAGAGCTCCAAGTGACTCACGGCTCTGGTTGTCTTCTGGGAGTCTTGTCTGGCATTGGAGGCCCCAGTGTGGTTTGGGAGACTGTGCTCACAGACACTGCCATCCATGGGGTCGGTGGGGGAGCTGGGAGGGGACATGGCCACTTGGGATCCCCACAAGCCACACTGGGAGCTTTGGACACTCAGCAGAGACATGGGATAGAAGATGGGGTTACAGATGTGCTGCGGTTGCACCCACATCCCTGGGCCCCATCCCAAGCTATTCCCATCTTGAAGCCAGGTACCCCAGGAGACACTTTGCATAGGCCTTGAATGTGGGGCTGAATGCTCAGTGCCCAAGAGAGACCACTGGGGGACAGGCCAGGCAGTGGAGTGCATATGGAGTCCCTCAGCCCATACTACTTTATTTGCAAAGGGACAAAGGCAGAATCCAGCAGGTGCTGTGCTGTGGGCTCTGACAGTGATCCAGGTGCTTCCAATGGGAACATATCATCACCAACCGGCACTGCAACCTCAGACTCCCACCCCTTCCTACCAGGGGAACCTGGTCATGTCCTTGGTGGAGAAAGCACGTCCCACAGGTGGCCACTGCTGTGTCCTGAGGGACTCAGGGCTGCCCGGGCTGCCTAGGTTGGTGCTGCCATCTGCTGCCACCTGGAGGAGCAGAGAGAGCTCCCACTCCAGATCCTCAATCTTCTGGGCCAGGTGGATCCTCCTCACCTCCAGCGCCAGGGCCTGCTCACTTTGTAGGACCTGAGTTCTCAGCTCCTCTCTGCCTGGGCTGCCCGTCTCTGCTGGGTTAAGTCTGCTTTCCTGCCACACTCTGGGGGAGATGCCAGGAGCCATCTGGAAAGGAGAGGTGACCATTGAAGGTCCCAGCTCCCCCCACCCTGGGCCATGACCCTCATCCCTCTGACACCTCCCACACTTGGGAAATGCCTGTGAGCTTCCTCCAGGGACTGGCCTGAGGATTAACCAAGGACAGCAATGTCTCCCGGCTTACACTGCCACATGAATGCACAACAGCCAATTATACTGTTGCACAATCATCATGATGGATGACTTAGAACAATTACTGAATCATTAACTCAGATTGCATTTTATACCCTCTCACCTCATCCTGCTTATTCCTTCCGTAACAACAGGATATTTATATAGATTGTGATTTTTCAAGAATGAAGCTCTCTTGTCTCTCTCCGCACAGAATCACTATCTCCACACAGCTCAGGACAGGTCCCTGTATCTGTCCCTCTGTGGTGGAGCTGCCCATGGAAGGCAGATGGGGGTGGGGTTAATGAGGAGCCCCTCCCTCCACTATGGCTTCCTGGGAACTCTTTTAAAAGAGTCCAGATAGAGCTCAGGGCAGTAATGGTGAGCACACTGAGAGAGGGACCAAGAGGAGGTATGTTTGGGTTTCACGGGGAGGACCCACTTGGGAATGCAAGGATCCCGTAGGGCACAGGCAGACTGTCCTTGCAGCCCCACAGGGAAGGGCTCTGTGCATTTTGTGGCCCTGCCTTGGCTGTGTGCTCACAGGGTGCATTTCCCCTCAGTGGTGTTGAGCACAGGAGCCCTGTCTGCAGAGGGTCAGTTCACCAAGAACTGATAGCCCAGACCTCCTGACAAGACCTCAGCATTCTCTTGGAACTCTCTGGATCAGGGAGAATCCTGGCTCTGTTGTAAGAAGAAAACCCACTTCCAGCCTCCTTGATTCCACCCCAGGGGGCTCTCCCTGCACAGAGAGAGAGGATTCCCAGCCCAGATGCCCCCTCCAGGAAGGCTGGTGAAAGTACCAATTGCTAGCAACTCTGTAAAGCAGGAACTAAGTTGGGGTGAGGAAGGCAGTGGGCTTGGTTAGAGATCCAAGGGAGTTGACAATCCAGAGGGAGGGTGGCATAGAGATCAAAGTGAGGACAAAGAGGAGACAACAGGCCAAGGAGGCACCAAACCCTCAAGTCAGGATAGACGGTGTTTTATGCAGAATTACAGCAATCAAACTGGCTGCTGGTTTTGCAGATAAATTTGCACAGAGTTCAGTGCGGATGCAGCTGAAGAACCCTCCAGGTGCCAAAGCAGATGCTGTTAGGCAGGCCACATCTACAATAGCTATTCTGTTGCTTCTTTTCCATGGTCTTCTGCAATTTTTGCAGCTATGATTTTACTGGGCTCTGTGACCTCCAACTGAGGGCATGGGCTTCCCTGTCTGCAGTCTCTGCTCTGTCTTCCTGGCTTAGTCTTCCACTCACCAAACCAAGCATGCAGCACCTGATCTGGCTTTGTGGCAGCAAAAAGCTGTTCTGGTTCCATCCCTCTCTATACAAAGGGGCATGGCCTCATGGGTCCCACCTATGGCCACCTCAAGAGCTAGGACGTTTGTCTCCTGGGCTTACCACAAAGGTGTCGCCTTCTGAGAGCAGTTGATCTGGCTCGGTCTCTTCTTTCTGCAGCTCCAGGGCTTGGGCACTGAGCTGCAGGAACTCCTCATTCAGCTCATCCATAGTGTCTTCCACTTGCTGGATCTTTCTCTAGGGGCAAGGGACAGATTGTCTTCATTAGTCTCATTTTTATTCTAATTTCAATAGAATTTCTTGTACTCCTGTTCCACAGCAGCTGCAGGGCTGGAGCTGGACATACAGTGTCAAAGATGAGTGCTGCACTCAGAAAGTCAGAACCTGATGAGGGGACCCAGACCTATGTCCAGCACAGTAAAGGTTATTGTGCGGGGATGCACTGGGTGCTACAGGAGCAAAAAGCAGGACTCACAGCCCAGTAGGTGTGTTCAGGGAGAGCTCTGGAAGAGAGGGCACTGCATCTGAATATTAAGGGATGGACCTATGTTAGCTGCTGGGAGAGTGGAGAAGGGCATTTTAGGCAAAGGGAGCAACGTGTGGGAAAAGAGATGCGAGGCAGCATAGCAAGCATCCATCCATCCATCCATCCACTTGTACACCCATCCATCACCCACCCACCCTCCATCCATTTACTCACTCATTCACCCAACTATTCATCCATTCACCCATCCATCCCTTTGCCCACCCACCCATCCACTTACCCAATCACCTACTTATACATCCATGTACCTGCTTATCCATCCATCCATCCATCCATCCTCCCACCCACCTACCCACCCATCCATTCATCCACTCACAAATAAGGACTTATTGAGCACCTAGAATATGTGAAGTTGGTGATCGGTTTTGGGACTGCTTTAGTGAAATTCCTTGTTTCCAGGCTATTGAGAAAGACAAACAGGGTGGGGCTGACACTGGAGCAATGGGTTAACACTCTGACCTGAAGCACCAGCATCCCATATGGGTGCCAGTTCTAGTCCCAGCTGTTCCACTTCCAATATAGCTCTCTGCTATGGCCTGGGAAAGTAGAAGATGGCCTAAGTCCTTGGGCGCATGAACCCACATGGGAGACCCAGAAGAAGCTCCTGGCTCCTGGCTTCGGATTGGCGCAGCTCCAGCTGTTGCGGTCATCTGGGGAGTGAACCAGCGGATAGAAGACCTCTCTCTCTGTCTCTACCTCTCTCTGTAACTCTGTCTTTCAAATAAATAAAATAAATCTTAAAAAAAAAGACAGGGTGAGGAAATGGGTGTGACTTGTGTCATCTGAAAGAATGTCAGGTTCTGTGGAAAGCAGTCAAAGTTCAGTCTGTCAGTAGCATGGAATTTGGAAGGGCAGAAGGAGGTGATGTTGGAGAAATGGGGCCAGCAGCCACACAGGGACCTGTGTGCTCTTCTTGGACCTGTGGGATCATTGGGGGGCTGCCATGGCAGAGCCTGTCTCATCAACAGAACCCTCCCTTTCTTCTTAGGGCCAGGGGCCCAGTTGAAAAATAACTGATCTCATCATGCTCTCATGAAGATAGAGATGATCACGTGGTTAAGTCTTGGCCAAAGAGGCGTAAAAGAAAGTGGTTGGGGGAGGGCTCAGGAAGAGCTCCGTGAGAGGAGAAGAGAAGCAGCATCCCCTTTAGCCCCCAGCAGCCATCTTGTGTTGAGAGTAAACTGAAGATGAACGTCATGTTCTTGGGTCATGGAAACAGAGGACACCATGGATGCTGATGGGATTTTTAAAACAATTTATTTATGTATTAGAGAGAGTTAAAGAGAGGGGGAGAGAGAGAGAGAGAGATCTTCCATTACTTGTTCACTACCCAGATGACCACAGTGGCCTTGGCTGGGCAGGCTGAAGCCAGGAGCCAGGAGAAGCTTCTCTGAGAGCACATGGATAGCAGGGGCCCAAGTACTTAGGGCATCTTTTGCTGCTTTTCCCAGGCCATTAGCAGAGTTGGACAGGAAGTGGAGCAGCTGGAAAACAAACCAGCACCCATATCAGATGCTGGCATTGCAGGTGACAGCTTTACCGGATTTGCCACAGCACCAGCCACCATGTTTGCTTTTTTTTTTTTTTTTAAGTTAGTTAATTTGGGCCAGTGTTGTGGAATAACAGGTAAAGCTGCTGCCAGGAGTGCCAGCATCCTGTATGGGCACTGGTTTGAGTCCCAGCTGTTCCACCTCTGTTCCAACTCCCTGCTAATGTGCCTTTGAAAGCAGTGGATAATGGCCTAAGCACTTGGGCTTCTGCCACCCATGTGGGAGACCTGGAGGAAGCTCCTAGTTCCTGGCTTCAGACCAACCCAGCTACGGTCATTGAAGCCCTTTGGGAAGTGAACCAGCAGATGGAAGATCCCTCTGTCTCTCCTTCTCTCTCTGTCACTCTGCTTTTCAAATAAATGAGTATATCTTTTTTTAAAAAAATAACTTGGAAGGCAAAGTGATAGAGAATGAAGGAAAGCAGAGAGTGAGAGAGAATCTTCTGCCCACTGGTTCACTCCCCAAATGCCTGCATCAGCCAGGGTTGTGCCAGGCCAAAACCTAGAAACAGGAAGTCAATTAGTGTCTCACGTTGGTGATAGGAACTCAAGCATTTTGGCCATAATTGACTGCCTCCCGGGTGCATTAACAGGAAGTTAGATTGAAAGTGGAATGGGACTGGATCCCAGGAACACTGGTGTGAGATGTGGGCATCCCAAGCAGCATCTTAATTGTTGTGCCGCAACCCTGACTCATGGGTTTGCTTTTGAACATGTGAAATTAAGCTAGTTGTAGAGGATCCCAATGCTAGTACAATGCCAATACACAATACTACAATAATACAATACTAGAGCGTCCACCTCTTCAACACTCACAATTACTTAGTATTTCAGCTAAGCATTAACTGGCTGCGCCACAGCGCCAGCCCCTGAAGATTCTTTTAAACCTTCCCAACCTTCTACCTCTTGCCTTTAGCAAATACTGCTAAATACGTCGAGAGTCACTGGATATGGGTGGCTGGATGAATAATTCCCCTCCCCAGTACACTCCAGTTGTAATTTTGTTCCCCACCAAATGTGCCCCTCAGTGATGTTTTCTGTAACTTCATGTTTGATCTTTGTCTCCCAGAGTTCTGACAGTCATGTGGGCAACAAAGTGGGGCTGGCAGGCAGGTCAGCTGGACCCACAGAACCTTCTGAAAGGGCCATGGGACACATGTTCAACACAAGCACTACATGGTGGACATGACCTTGGTCTCAAGGCCCCATCCCTACCTGCAGCTCAGGAAGGGCTCCATGGTCTGGCCAGGTCCAGCAGATCCACTCTTCATGGCCAGGGCTCTGGGCAGCTTCTCCTTTCACACCACCCTGGGGGTGCCACATGGGTCCTGTGTCCTGCTGGGGGCTGGGTGAGAGAAAAGGAAGGCCCCTCAGATCCTGGTGACACCCCGAGAACACTGACCACTGTTGGTTCCCCACAGCGAGTCTGAGATCAGGAGGATGAGATATTAATGCCCCAGAGAAACTGATAAGCCTCTGGCTGCCTGGAGCGGGATGAAGGCACTCACAGTCTGCCCACTGCACAGCAGAGTGCCCTACTCAGGGAAGTGGAGTGGAGCAGTCTGACCCCTCCCTGGCTGTCCTGTGCACACTGGTTATTTTGACCTGAGGACGACTGAGTAGAAGCAGATACAGGAAACCTCTCTGCCTTCTCCACTGCCTAAAAGTGGGGCACACACATGTGAAGGTGACCCCCTTCCTCTCCACTGGGGTTGGGGGACTAGGAGGTCATCACTGTGCACAGAGACACGCTGAGAAACACAAAACACACTTCACCGCTACTGGCCCTTGTCTGCCTGTGTTTACCCTGGAACCGACCATCCAGGGATGGTGCTGTCCTGGGAGTTCAGGAAATCCCTCCCCCTCTTTGAGGCATCTTTCCTGGCTGTCCCCGTGGGCAGCCCAATGCCCGCTTTGCAGAAGGGATCATGTTTGGTTGTCTCTTCCTGATCTGTCTTTTGTTGGTCTAATTTACAGGCCAAGGAGAGAGCCCGAGATGGGTAGAGAAGGAGTTTCCCTCCCTCCCTCCCTCAGGCAGCATGTAGTGGCTGCGCTTAACACCAGGCCCAGGAACGGGGGCTGTCAGCTGTGTGGTTACACATCCTCCTGTGTGGTCCAGATTTTCCACGTGGATGTGTCCACTGTGTCCTGCTGTGACCCTGTTCCAGGCAGTGCTGTTCCCTGCAGAGTCACCTCGGGTAGCTCAGTTCTAGATCTGTCTCCAGGTTTGCAATGAGGAGCCTTGGGGGCCCTGGGCTTGATCAGTCCATGAGCTACAGCTAGTTCTGTCCCCCGTGAGTTAGTCAAGGAGCACCCTCCTCTCGCTTCTGCTGGGCTGGATCCTACCTCATTTCAAAACCCATCCCAAGAAACCCACAGCTCCTTTAACTGATCTGACGAAAATCTCTAAACTTCTAGAACCTTGGCACTGTACAGCAATTTCTTGTCTTTTCTTACAGTCATGGACATCCTCAGAGCTGTTCTTCCTGACTCACTCAGCCTCAAACCCTCTGCACGGTGCCTGCACCAAAAATAGGCAAGTGTGTCATTAATGGAACTTGCCGGAGAAAGAATTTGCTTAGCTCCCATGACATCTGCATCACAGGATTCTTAACTCTCCTCTCCTTTGTGGAATCCTTTTTCTGAAGTTCCTGGTCCTCTGGGGCCCAGACTCTGAGACTTTAGAAGGAGAGTCCAGATTCCTCTCCTCCTGCCTGCAGGAGACACCAGTTCTCTGTACAAACTTTTATTTTTTTTTTATTTTCTTGATTTTATTTTTTTTAACAGGCAGAGTTAGACAGTGAGAGAGAGAGACAGAGAGAAAGGTCTTGCTTCCGTTGGTTCACCCCCCAAATGGTTGCTATGGCCTGTGCGCTGCACCGATCTGAAGCCAGGAGCCAGGTGCTTCTTCCTGGTCTCCCATGTGGGTGCAGGGCCCAAGTACTTGGGACATCCTCCACTGCCCTCCCTGGCCACAGCAGAGAGCTGGACTGGAAGAGGAGCAACTGGGATAGAACCGGCGCCCCAACCAGGACTAGAACCCGGGGTGCCAGCACCGCAGGTGGAGGATTAGCCTCATGTGCCGTGGCACTGGCCTGTACAAACTTTTAAAGCCCCCCAAAGAAAGAAATGATCACGGGGGTTCCTAGGAGGATGGGCTTGGGGTTAGTGCAGGGCTAGAGGAAGCCTGTGCAGGCCAGCAGTGCAGGCTGGACTCTGGGGTTCACATTCCCTGAGCTGGTGTCTCCACTCCCTCCTGCACTTTAGCCCCTGGGAGCCCCGACATGCTCATCCTTAAACTGGCGAGTGCTAGTGTGAGAGGTAGATGGACCAGCAGGCAGTGAGGTTGGGTCTTGGTCAGAATGAGGAAAGGGGAAGTCTCTTTAAGAGGGTAGAAAATGCTTTTCCCCAGAAGCTGCCTTTAGCAAGATGAAAGTGCCAATCCAAGGGAGTATTGATTCCACCCTTCTCAGTTTATATTTTATCCCAGTCACACCGGTTTTTTTTTTTTTTTTTTTGGTATTATGAGCAAGCCAGACAGGATTAGGATTCTGGCCTTCTGTTGGGTTTTGTCTCCACTCTCTGATTGGTTGTTAGTTGCTGTTCTGTTTTTTGTCCAAAAATTGTGTTTGAAGACTTGACTGTCACAGTTTCTTGCATCTGCTTTTTGGTGATCCCCCCTCCCGGCTGCTGTGGCAGGAGGTTTCTGACTTAAATAAACATTGCTTTACTCACTGCATTGTCTGCATGGAAATTCTTTCTGTCAGACAAGAACAGTGGTTGCCTTTCTTCACTGCCATTTTATCCAAATAGCATCTACCTCCTAGGGTGGTGAGATGAAGTGAGATAGCAGATAATGTTCTCATCTTAGCACCTAGTAAATACAAGCAGCCAGCAATTATTACACTTGCTGCTGTTAAAAGTGAAGGATGGGCTTCTCACCAGTGCATGGAACGTTCTCTGGGATAGACCACAAGCTAGGCCACAAAGCAAGTCAGCAGATTCAAAAATATCAAAATCATGCCATGCATCTCCTCTGACCATATCGGAATGAAGCTGGAAATCAACAACTCAAGAATCTCTAAAACCTGTAAACACTTGGAGACTGAACAACATGCTCCTGAATACCATTGAAGAAATCAAAAGGGAAATCAAGAAATTTCTGGAAATGTATGAAGACAATATGTACCCCATGTTTATTGTAGCTCAATTTACAATAGCTAAGATATGATATCAACCCAAATGTCCATCAAACAAAGACTACATAAAGAAATTATGGGATATGTACACCATGGAATACTACATGGTAGTAAAAAAATGAAATCCTGTTGCTTGCAACAAAATGCATGCAAATGGAAAACATCATATTTAGTGAAATAAGCCAGTCCCCAAAGGACAAATACCATATGTTCTCCCTGATCTGTGGTAACTAGTAGATCACCTAAAAAGTAATCTATAGAAGTGAAATTTACACTTCAAATTGCAATGATTTTGAACAGCCCTTGTCTCAACTGTTGAGGAACAGCTTTTTTATACTATTTGCTGAACTCTTAGAATAGGGTTAATCTTATATGTATAAAGTTAATTGAAAATAGATCTTAGCAAAAAATAAGAATGGGAATAGGAGAGGGACGAGGAAGAAGAGTGGCAGTGTGGTTGGGAAGGCAGGTACAGAGGGAAAAATCATCATGTTCCTAAAGTTGTATATGAAACGCATCAAGTTTGTATTCCTTAAATAAAAGGTTTCAGGGGAAAACGTGAATGAAAGGAAAAATAGACTAAAGATGCTGAGATAAATAAACTCAAAACACAAGCAACAAAAAAATGACACCCAGCCTTGGGGTGGACATGGAGGAAGAGCAGACAACCTGTGGCCATCACCCCAGACGAGGCAGAAGAAGGAGGAGGATGATAAAGAGCTTGAGGATGAGGCCTGGGCTCCACCAGTGCGAAGTGGCCCCGTTCTGAAGTGTGGAGATAGAACAATAGAGGACTTGTGTTCTGGATGGCTCAGTCAGTAGACCCTGTGACAAGCCCAGGTATCCGCAGCAATGGGACAGTCCTGGGCAGGGGGAGCCTGAAACCTAGTAGCTGCAAACAAATGGACTCAGGCTTTCGATTGGATTCTGTTTTGAACAACCAGACTGTCAGTGCCGGGTGCTAGGTGAAGCCCCTGAGAGCTCACCTGCTCCTGAGACGCTGGTTTCTGCCTCACCTTATGAGCTGGTCCGAGGGTGGAGGCTGGGCCATCAGGAGCATGTCCGGCTGGCAGGTGGACAGAGTCTGCTCAGCAAGCTGATTGGAGGCCTTGGAGAAACAGACAATTCTGTAACTTTCCCTCCAGGGTACGGGGCCCAGAAAAGTACAGCGGCGGATGGACAGAAGAGCAGCATTGCTGGAGCCCTGGAGGCAGTGCCCTGATGTGTGTGGCTACCAACCCTCAGGTGCTCCTGGGCCCTAGCACCTGCCTGGTAGCAGTGAAACCCTGACATGGACTGTGGCCTGTCCCTTGGTGTCCCAGGCCTCTGGGATGCTGCTGCCCTAGGGGGCTCCAGTGAGTGGCAGTGTGTGCCCTGACTCATTCAGGCCGGGTCTCTTGCCTGGAGTCCAAGTGTGCACTTGCCCTTGCAAGGCTGCTCTGAACCACGATTCAGGAATCCTGTCAATGCCTGAGCCCCATGCTATGGGCCAGAAAACTGACTAGCAGCCTAGGAGAAGAGACAGGGCTGAAACTGGGGCTTAATCTCCAAGCACAGGGAGAGCCCCCTGGGAATCTGAATGCAGGGAGGGGGAGGTCCCAGGGAAGGTGTGTATGTGTGTGTGTGTGAATGTGCACATGGGTATGTGGTTGTGTGGTTTGTGTGTGAGTGTGTGTGTTGGGTGTATACTTGTGGGCACCAATAGGTGAGAGCTTTTCTACACACACAGGTGTGCCCGGTTGCCCCACACGTCCCTCACCTTCCTGCCGGCCCCCAGGTATGGCCAGCACGCATGGGAAAGAGCAGAAGCCAGGGCAGCGATGGCTCTGTCGAGCTCCGGGTGGAAGCCCAGGGGAGAGGTGCTGGGGGTGCCGCCTGCAGAAGTAGGACACAGGACAGAGTGAGCTGGACACGGGGCCCTCGTTCTCCCAGACACCTCCTCCGGCCACTCCTCACCGTTCCCCATGGTAGTATCCTGCATGTGTCACCTTCTATTTATTTATTTATTTGACAGGTAGAGTTATAGACAGTGAGAGAGAGAGACAGAGAGAAAGGTCTTCCTTCCATTGGTTCACTCCCCAAATGGCTGCTACAGCCGGCACTCTGCCGATCCGAAGCCAGGAGCCAGGTGCTCCTACCTGGTCTCCCATGTGAGTGCAGGGGACCAAGCACTTGGGCCATCCTCTACTGCCCTCATGGGCCACAGCAGAGAGCTGGACTGGAAGAGGCGCAACCAGGACTAGAACCCGGCGCCCATATGGGATGCCGGCACCACAGGTGGAGGATTATCCACATGAGCCACTGCGCCGACTGCGTGTGGCACCTAACTCTGATTTCCCTCTTGTGCAGCAACACTTCGACCTCCCCCTCACCTGAGACAGCCGTGCTCTGTCTTCACGTACGTGCACAGGACCTTGGGCAACATGTGACCGTGCTTGTGAGTGAACACTTTAATTTTACACACCGTCTCTTGCCAACCTGTGCATCTTATCTGTTTCTCACTTGTTCTCTAGGCCCAGAGATGCTTAGAGGTCTCCCCACCTTTCTGTCCCCTCTGTTACTTTTCCTGGTGCCACTCCTTCCTGCCATACACTGTGTTCTGCTCACATCCTGGAGCCTGCAGCTGCCAGTGGCACCCACGCCTACCTGAGCTACATGAGGACAGTCTCCTGGGTCAGCAGTAGGATATTTGGGACTCCCACCACAGTGGTTTCCAGATTATAGGTTAAATTCACTAACATGTTGTTTAATTGTTTTACTATTATTAATTTATTAATTTTTTTATTAAATCAAAATTTCATCATCTCCATTTAAAAAAATAGCCAGGAAAAAAATTGAATCCTCTGTTTTGTCATTAGTGATAGCTTGGCCCGGTGCTGAGCCATGAGCAGAGAGGAGTCTGGCATTTTTAGGAAAGGGTTGCACAGTCTCAGGCAGGTTTCAGGGGAACGTGGCTGTCTTGGTCCTTCCCACTCACTGAGCCACATGTCCCAGGCAGGTACATTCCAAAGAACATTTAAAAAGGGGATTGGTTTGAAGAGAAGCTCATGGAAGGCCTGCCCCAGGCTGGAGTGTGGACAGCACAAGCAGGCTTCTGGCATTGGTCTGCTCCCCAGGGCCCCTCTCCAGGGCCTGCATCTGGAGGCCCCTGCACCTGAGGACCCCATATGGGCTCCCAGTGCTGGAACCTGAGGCCCAAACACACGTCCAAGGGGCCCATTCCTACCTGGAGGGTGACCTGCACTGAGGAAATGGGGGATGTGGCTCAGTAGGCGGGGCTGGCCCTTCTCCCTTAAAGGACCGGGAGCTCCTGCAGGCCTGAGGCTGGGTGTGGGAATGGGAGCCTGGGGCCTCAGGTCAGGTAAGGTCAGTGACTTTGTGGCCTTTCAGAGGGAGGCGGGTGTGGAGCTGAGATGGGTTTCTGGCCTGATCTCGGGCAGATCCGTTGGCCTCCTTAAGCCTGAGTTCCCTCCACTATAAATGGAGATGATGATCACACCACACACAAGGTTCCTGGGACAGCTGCAGGGGTTCAGTGAGGTGATACTATCCTGTGTTTACAGCTGCATCCAGGAGGCTGGGAGGACACTGCCCTGGAGACACTGGGGTCCCAGGGTCTTGCCCCTGGTGCAGGAGGGCTGGGCTGGCTCCTCCTCTAGCAGAAGAGAGAGCTGTGTGGGCTCTCTGTTCCATGGGAGCTTACAGGACAACTGGGTCATATGGCCTGTCGCATCCCGAGGCTCTGTGCCCTGTGTTGCCTTCTGGGACTGGGTGGGGGTGTCTGGTGACAACCCTGCTGCTGAGCACTGAGTGAGATGACCAATGTGAGTGGATAACATGACCATCCACCTGCTGTCCTGCTGGGCCACCCCTCTCTCACCTGGCGGTGGCTGCTGGCATTTCGGGGTGGAAGTTGCAGTGTGGCTGCCCCTGGGCTCCTCACACTGCTGGGTGTCAGTCTGGGCAGTGGCTTTGTCCACCTTCTCAGAGTCTTGGCCCTTGCCCAGAGCTTGCAGCCCTGTTGCACGGAGGCCCTGCAGAAAGTCCTGAGGGAACCAGGAGTGCATCAGTGATCTGGGATTGTGCCCTTCTGAGCTCAGTCCAGATCCAGGTTCTGGGGATGCAGCTGACCTGGAGCCCCTGGAGCTGCTGGCTGGCAGTCTTGTAGAAGGCCAGTGCATCACCCCTGTGCTTGCTCAGCTGGGCTGCCATGTGCAGGCTCTGGTCCTCAAGCTTGTCGTAGAGTGTGCGGACGCTGAAGTCCTCCAAGGTCTGGGCCAGGACTGGCGCCCCTGCAGGAAGAGGTCTGGGCAGTGAGACTTTGGGATGAGCAGCTGGGAGTGGTCCCGGCTGGGAGTGACTTAGCCCCTTCTTCCCTTACTCAGAGGTTGGGACTTGTAGGCGTGCTGCAGGAAGAGGAGGGAGGCCTGCCTGCAGGAAGAGGCAGGCTATGGGGAGGAGGACCCCACGGAGAGGGAAAGTGGGATGAGGCCCGATGTGGGCAGGGCAGGAAGGACACTCCAGGGAAAGGCGGCAGCAGGGGCCACAGGAAGAACCTCCTCTGAGTAGCTGTGATTGACAAGAGCTGGCAGCAGAGCTGGGCAGGCAGTTGCCTCCCCTGAGGGTGGGTCTCCCAGTCCTCAACCACCTTCCTGAGGGTCTGCCCACACTTTCCCTGAGGCTTTAGGTCTGTCCTGCCCTCTCCCTGTGTCCATCTCTGTCTCCAGTTCCCACAGTTGCCCCACACTCCCCTGTTCTCGCCCTATCTTTCCCCACTGTGCCACAGACTCATGTCCAGCTGGCTCTTCCAACATCCCCAAGCCCAGGCATCTGTTTGGCAGGTACCTGCTTAGCTGAGGGGCTCCTGGCTTCATGGGAGCAGGGATTGGGGGTCTCCATCCAGGCAGTCCCCCGCCTAGCCTCTGCCCAAGTAGCTCTCAAGTTCCGCAGATCCTTCCCGTGGTACCTTGATGGCCAACCACCTGAGGTAGGACAGCCGTGAGGGAGGCCCGTTCCCAACTGCTCTGTTCAAGGGGTTAAGGAAAAGGCTGTCTCCCAGGAATTCTGTGTCCAGCAAAACTGTCCTTCAACAGTGAGGGAGACATTAGGGAATTCCCAGATAAGCAAAAGCTGAGGTGTTCATTACCACCTTCCCTGCAAGAAATGCTCCCGGGAGCCCTGGAGTGAAAGGACACCAGACGGGAACTGGAAATGCCAGGAAGAGTAAAGTTCTCAGTGAAGGTGAGGATGTGGGCAACGAGAAACGCTAGCATTGTTGTAGCAAAGTTTTGTAACTCCAGAATTGGTATTCCACACAATTTAACAGACAAATACACTGTTAAAAATGATTGATCTAAAAGCTGGTAGTATTATAACTCCAGCTTGTTAATTCCACAAGAGGGATTTAAAGAACATTAGCTCAGGGGCCGGCGCTGCTTGTACTTCCGGCATCCCATATGGGCGCTGGTTTGAGTCCCAGCTGCTCCACTGCCAACCCAGCTCTCTGCTATGGCCTGGGAAAGCAGTAGAAGATGGCCCAAGTCCTTGGGCCCTGGCACCTATGTGGGAGACCTGGAAGAAGCTCCTGGCTCCTCACTTGTGACTTTGGATTGGCGCCGCTCTGGCCGTTGCCTCTCTCTCTCCCTCTCCCTCTCTCTCTCTCTTTCTCTCTTTCTGCCTCTGCTTCTCTGTAACTCTGCCTTTCAAATAAATAAGTAAATCTTTTTTTAAAGTCATTATCAGAAGGAAAACTAGAAAATCCAACACTTTTGGCAATTAATCAGCACACTCCACAACAAGGGATCCACAATGATCCACAACAATGGATCAAAGAAGAAACCACATGGAAAATTAGAAAATACTTAGAGACAAATGAAAATGAATAAAAAAAGCATTAACATACCCTGTACAAAAATTTATGGGACTCAGTAAAAGCAGTGTTTGAGGAGAGAATTTATAGCCATAAATGCTTGCACTGAAAATAAGAAATAATCTATATGAACCAGTTAACTTTACAATTTAAGGGATTGGGTGAAAAGAACCAACCTAATTCAAAACTGGCAGGAAGAAGGAAATAAACACTGAGCGCTGATGAACAAATAAAGAATGTAAAAACGAGAGACCCAATGAAAACAAAAATTGGTTCCTTGAAAAGATCAACAAAATGGACAAACATTTGGCTAGATGGACTAAGGAAAAACAAAAGAAGATCCAAATGCCTGATACCAGAATGGGGATAAGTGTTCAGCCCACTGGTTAAGACGCTGCCTGGGACTCGTGCATCCCACGTCAGAGTGCCTGGGTTCCAGTCTTTGTTGCACTTTCCATGCTAGCTGCTTGCTAATGTGCATCCAGGGAGGCAGCAGATAATGGCTCAAGTGCTTGAGTCCCTGGCCCTCACATAGGAGACCTGAACTGAGTTACCCTGTCCAGGCTTTAGCCTGGCCGAGTCTGGCCACTGTAGGTATTTGGGGGAGTGAACCAGCAAATAGGGCTATCTCTTTTTTTTGTCTTTTAAATTCTAAAAAATCAGAATCAAAGTGTGGGCAGTTTACCAGTTACACAGAAGTAAAAAAGGATTATAAGAGTTATTAGGAACAATTGCACACCAAGAAACCCTATAGCCCAGGTGAAATCAACAAATTCCAAGGATGACAAAGCCAAGATTCATCATCAAGAGATTCAAAAATCTGAATGTAGCTATAACTATAAGAGGACTGAGGGTCCAGAAATTAACCCTTGCCTATGTGGTCAAATGATTTGCAACAAAGGGGCCAAGATCAAGAAGGGAAAGATAGTCTTTTTAACAAGAAAAGGTCCTGGAAAAACTGGACAACAACATGCACAACAATGATAGGAGAACCCTACCTAACAGCAAATATAAAAATCAACAACTGGATGAAAGACCTCAAGGTAGGACCTGCAACTAAAACTTTATAGCATTGAATTTGGAAATCATTTCTAAGA